CTTCCCGTGGGAACTGCATACGCAGCATATTTGGGAGTCACCGATCAGGCCACTCACTTCGCCACAATCACGCCACCATCGATACATATTTCTAGCTATATAAGACAAASAAATCAYCAATTCWANYTCAGTTTCAACTCAGCTCTAAGACCGATTGTACATAAGTTATTAAGAATAAAATTTTTTTTTATCTCAACAATAACGTCGGTYTTATTATTATATATATATATGTATTTGAATAAATGAAATAAAGGCAAACAGTGAAACTTTTGTTGAGCACTTGCATGAGGAAACGGAACTCCGGCACGGACTTTACAAGCCCGTACTCCATATTTGGCAAGGACAAACGTGGAGTGAGTGTGCCGGGTAGAGATGAGTCAGCCTTGAGAACATTTTGTACGGGTTGTGTTTTGTTGCGCTCTGAGTTTTCGAATTGTTTGAAGTAATTAAAAAAGTTTCTGTTGAACACATTTTATTATACAATATTTTTTTTTTTTTTTTGGCTTTTCTTCCTGCCATTTGCAAACAAATAATACGCGTACATCAGCGAACGAAAAAAAAATTAAAAATAATACTTGTCTCTTATTGCTGCTCGCCGTAATTCACGTATTTAGCAAATGTATATATTTAAATGCATTTATGCATGTGTGTATATATGTATATATATATGGGGTATAATTTATGAGCTTTTGGCTGAGCTCTAATTAATGTGTGCAGCGGTTGCTTCAACTAGTTGCAACTTGTACAAACTATTTTACAACGTCCAATGCATGTTTATATTTCCCAATTTGAATCTATGCCAAATGCAGAGAGAGAGAGAGAGAGAGAGAGAGAGAGAGAGAGAGAGAGAGAGAGAGAGGAGAGAGAGACAGCGAGAGATAGAGAGAGTGAGAGTGGTCCAAATTGCATTTTGAGCTTAGCTTAAATTCTAAATTTGCAACATATCAAATTTGTTGCCTCTTTAAAAGCCACTAAGCGAATTACAATCACTCTAATGCCTTAACCACAGACTGCTGCCAGCATTTACCTATGGCCTTCGTCTTGGGTTTCAGTTTCCTGTTAATTCGTACCACAATTATTCTCCCAATGCGTTTGTGTGTGTGTGTGTGGGTGTGTGTGGGTGTGTGTGTGTGGGTGTGTGTGCTGGGCGTGTCAGCATGGAGCTATTTAAAGCTGTAATAATATCAGCTCAAATAGAATTTAATGAAAGTGAAAGATGACACATAGAGAGAGATAGAGAAAAGGAAGGAGGGATAGCAAGAGAGTGGGAAAGAGCGGGTAAAAGAAAGAAGGAGAAAGAGAGCAAAAGATAACCATAAAGATAGAGAACGCAAAGTGAGTGAGGAAGGAATAGAAAGAGAGAATGAGAGAGAGAGAGAAGCTGATAGGGTACAAAAAGGCAGAGATTGAGAAAAAGAGAGACTGGGAGTCAGAAAAAGAACAAAATGGACATAGTTATACATATGTTTATAGAGAGTGGAAAGACAAATTTAAAGATAAACAGATTGAAGACATAATGCGAGTCAGAGAGCGAGCAACAGTGAAAAGGAAACGCAAATAAACATACAACAGATAGAAGACCAGACATAGAGAGGCAAGTTAGATGAATAGAGATTGTTAGCTGCTTTATGTATATTCTTCCCTGACTAGCTCTTCATATTAAAAAGCCATAAGATAAGCTAAAGTAAATACATGATGTCTAAATACAATAATACAAGATCGCCAATAGTAAATTGTTTATAAAATTTTGGATTTCTAGGGTATACCCAAGATAATATATATATACATATATGAATCTATATATTTGGTAAAGAGTATATAATATA